GAGTCGCGCACGTGAGTCGTTCGTTGTGAATTACAGCGTTTGCTATAGAGTGACTGTGGAAATTAAGTGTATTTCAAAGTTGTATTCAGAAAGAATAAACGCGTTTTATTTAGGAAAGGACTTGTATCGCTAAAGGTTCTTCGGAAAGAATTTTTACGGAAAATTAACTAATGACGGAGGCGTAACAATATGGTGTTTTTAATAAACATATTAGCACTAATATATAAAACATAAGTTCACAACGTTTCAGAACTTCCCGTCTGTAGGTTTCTCTAGTCGTTGTGAACAAAATAATATAGACATGTTTTCTGCTTCTTTTGATCAAACTTTTTTTACCACGCTGCATCAAATTAATTTTACTTATTTGTTGCACCACGTATACTTTCTCCTACTCCGTGTTCACACGGTTTTTGTGGCGTTTGGGGGAGGAAAGGACAGTGTAGCAACAAATCTTTGTAAATACAAGAGCGAGGATAGATCCACTGATATCCATTATTTGTTCATTGATTCAACTAGAAAGTGTTCTGTTTCAAGAGTAAATAAAACCCAAATTAAGGGTAACAAATATTTTTATTTGTTGTGTTTGAAGTTCATATGTTGTAGCCTACAGAGTGTATAATTCTTTCTCGTAATTCATGCCATGCCCACGTATTACTGACGTCACAACAGTACAAATTTCAACGTTAAGCGTCCCTTATGTGACGTTATTTTACTGTCTACTGACTGACTGACAAACAACGCACTACTGTATTGTGGTGCGAGTGGTTAAAAAAGGCGACCTTTCTAGGCGGCCTTCGGCCTCCTTTCGGGTAAATTAATTTCCTCAGCATCTCAATATTCTGAATACATCTTACGGTTTTTACAGTGACAGTGGTAAATTCTGATTTCCTGTGACATGTAGTTTTCAAGAAAAAATAATTTCATTAAAATATCAGGTTTTATTTATAATCGCAATGTATAATCATTATAAATTGCCAATTACACTTAAACCTTGATTAATGATGTAAGTATATAATATGTGTAAGTGTGACTTTTCTAATTATCTGGGCCGTTGTTAGAATGTGAGACTTTGAATCTGAGGGGACTTTCAACTCGTTACTGTAAAAACAAAAACAAATCACAATCCGCACTTTTGGTGCAGTATAAGAGTGACGATCAAATCCCACTATTCGGTCTGACAAGCGTAGTCCAAGTGTTGGCTAGGTTAGCATGTCCTGGTGGTTAAAGAGCTCGACTCGCAAGCTGTCGATTGCGGGAACGAAACCCATCGTTTAACATATTCGCCCTTTCAGCCGTGGGAGCGTTATAATGAAATGGCCAATTATATTGTTCGTTGGTCAAGTGTTGCCAATGAGTGGTGTTGATTATCTGCCTTCCCTCCAGTCTATCACATCAAAATTAGGGACGGATAATTCTATGAAGATGAGCCATCCAGTAGCTTTGTGTGAAATCCAACAAACAGTTTCTTACCTTTAGCTCTACGTCTCCACATGTATCTTTGTGTGAAATCCAACAAAGAGTTTCTTACCTTTAGCTCTACATCTCCACGTGTAGCTTTGTGTGAAATCCAACAAAAAGTTTTCTTACTTTTAGCTCTACGTCTCCACATGTATCTTTGTGTGAAATCCAACAAACAGTTTCTTACCTTTAGCTCTACGTCTCCACGTGTAGCTTTGTGTGAAATCCAACAAAAAGTTTTCTTACCTTTAGCTCTACGTCTCCACATGTATCTTTGTGTGAAATCCACTAAACAGTTTTCTTACTTTTAGCTCTATGTCTCCACGTGTAGCTTTGTGTGAAATCCAACAAACAGTTTTCTTACCTTTAGCTCCACGTCTCTACGTGTAGCTTTGTGTGAAACCCAACAGACAGTTTCCTTATCTTTAGCTCTACGTCTTCACGTGTAGCTTTGTATAAAATACAATAAAGTTTTCTTACCTTTAGCTCTACGTCTTCACGTATAGCTTTGTGTGAAATCCAATAAACAGTTTTCTTACCTTTAGCTCTACGTCTCTACGTGTAGCTTTGTGTGAAATCCAACAGACAGTTTCCTTACCTTTAGCTCTACGTCTTCACGTGTAGCTTTGTGTGAAATCCAATAAACAGTTTTCTTACTTTTAGCTTTACGTCTCCACGTGTAACTTTGTGTAAAATCCAACAAAAAGTTTTCTTACTTTTAGCTTTACGTCTCCACGTGTAGCTTTATGTGAAATCCAACAAACAGTTTTCTTACCTTTAGCTCTACGTCTCCACGTGTAGCTTTATGTGAAATCCAATAAACAGTTTTCTTACCTTTAGCTCTACGTCTCCACGTAGACTCAAAACAAACGTCCCGAACTCGTCCAATATAACCTTAGTCTGGTGACTGACATGTACTTTCATGGCTATGGCGAAAATGAATATTTAAAGTATTAGGGCAAAAATTTCAAAATAGCATCAACATGTGAGTAAATAAACCCAAACTACAAAATAGCATCAACATCTGAATAAATAAACCCAAACTACAAAATAGCATCAACATCTGAGTAAATAAACCTAAACTACAAAATAGCATCAACATCTGAGTAAATAAACCCAAACTACAAAATAGCATCAACATCTAAGTAAATAAACCCAAACTACAAAATAGCATCAACATGTGAGTAAATAAACCCAAACTACAAAATAGCATCAGCATCTGAGTAAATAAACCCAAGCTACAAAATAGCATCAGCATCTGAGTAAATAAACCCAAGCTACAAAATAGCATCAACATCTGAGTAAATAAACCAAAACTACAAAATAGCATCAGCATCTGAGTAAATAAAGCAAAACTACAAAATAATTAATTCTCTTAAAGTATGTAAAAATTTGGAATTATTTTTACCATTACAATGATCCTAGTAAAGTTATTTTAAAAACATTTTAACCACATGGCCCCTTATGGTCTTGTTATCCTTTGTTAAACACACTATATTATGCTTACTGCAAGGATCGAATCACAATGTTTTGCGTTATAAGCGCTGAACAATTTCGATAAACAGGAGGGGGGTATTAGACTTTTAGTCTATAAAATTAAAAATATTAATAAGGATTTTTTTATTGTTGTTGTTAAACCCTATGGGACATCTGTATTCTGTCCATCGCATGTATCGAAACCCGAATTTTAGGCTTATTAGCAACGTGGTGAATTTTATTATTTTTTTCTCCGATTAATTTTTTTGATATGTATTAGAAATCTAATCACATTAGTCTGAGAAAGATAATTTATAAACTGTTATCATGAAATTAATTTGTAAAGATTAAATAAATTGATTGTTTGAACTCGACAGATATTAGCTTTGGTTATTGCGGTTCTTTCATCGGTAAAAATAACCGTTGTAGCGGTACGGTTGATGGTTCTTCCATCGGTAAAAATAACCGTTGTAGCGGTACGGTTGATGGTTCTTCCAACGGTGAAAATAACCGTTGTGTGGGTACGGTTTACGGTTCCTCCAAAGGTAACAATAGCCGTTGTACGGATTCGGTTGATTAAGTAACAAACAGGTATTCATATAGTTTTAAGAACATGGATAATAAGGATAACGACTCATTATTTTTACACTTTTTCAGATGCTCTTACCCTGTCCGTTGCTCTCCATCCTTGACGCTGTGTTGACAGTATCTCCAAACAGACAGTATCTTGGCATTTTCAGACCCACAACCCCTGCAACACATGACCCTAAAAACCAGACAAACACTAAATACTCAGTTTCATTACATACTTTTAACGTCTTTTATTATGTAACTTATTGGAAAGTATCAAACCGATAATTCTTAATATTTGTAACTACAAGTGTCTAACACGTCAGGTACCTATTATTGTTACACTTGTTATACTAACAAGTCAAGTGTCTAACACGTCAAGTAACTATTGTTTTTACATTGGTTATACTAACAAGTCAGGTGTCTAACACGTAAGTAACTATTGTCGTTACACTGGTTATACTAACAAGTCAAGTGTCTAACACGTCTAGTAACTATTGTTGTTACACTGGTTATACTAACAAGTCAAGTGTCTAACACGTCTAGTAACTATTGTTGTTACACTGGTTATACTAACAAGTCAAGTGTCTAACACGTCAAGTAACTATTGTTGTTAAACTGGTTATACTAACACGTCAAGTAACTATTTTTGTTACACTGGTTATATTAACAAGTCAAGTGTCTAACACGTGAAGTAACTATTGTTGTTACACTGGTTATACTAACAAGTCAAATGTCTAACACGTCAAGTAACTATTGTTGTTACACTGGTTATACTAACAAGTCAAGTGTCTAACACGTAAGTAACTATTGTTGTTATACTGGTTATACTAACAAGTCAAGTTTCTAACACGTAAGTAACTATTGTTGTTACACTGGTTATACTAACAAGTCAAATGTCTAACACATAAGTAACTATTGTTGTTACACTGGTTATACTAACAAGTCAAGTGTCTAACACGTAAGTAACTATTGTTGTTACACTGGTTATACTAACAAGTCAAGTGTCTAACACGTGAAGTAACTATTGTTGTTACACTGGTTATACTAACAAGCCAAGTGTCTAACACGTCAAGTAACTATTGTTGTTACACTGGTTATACTAACAAGTCAAGTGTCTAACACGTAAGTAACTATTGTTTTTACACTGGTTATACTAACAAGTCAAGTTTCTAACACGTAAGTAACTATTGTTGTTACACTGGTTATACTAACAAGTCAAGTGTTTAACACGTAAGTAACTATTGTTGTTACACTGGTTAAACTAACAAGTCAAATGTCTAACACATAAGTAACTATTGTTGTTACACTGGTTATACTAACAAGTCAAGTGACTAACACGTCAAGTAACTATTGTTCTTACATTGGTTATACTAACAAGTCAAGTTTCTAACACGTAAGTAACTATTGTTGTTACACTGGTTATACTAACAAGTCAAGTGTCTAACACGTAAGTAACTATTGTTGTTACATTGGTTATACTAACAAGCCAAGTGTCTAACACATAAGTAACTAATGTTGTTACACTGGTTATACTAACAAGTCAAGTGTCTAACACGTCAAGTAACTATAATTGTTACACTGGTTATACTAACAAGTCAAGTGTCTAACACGTAAGTAACTATTGTTGTTACACTGGTTATACTAACAAGTCAAGTGTTTAACACGTAAGTAACTATTGTTGTTACACTGGTTATACTAACAAGTCAAATGTCTAACACGTCTAGTAACTATTGTTGTTACACTGGTTATACTAACAAGTCAAATGTCTAACACATAAGTAACTATTGTTATTACACTGGTTATACTAACAAGTCAAGTGTCTAACACGTCAAGTAACTATTGTTGTTACACTGGTTATACTAACAAGTGAAGTGTCTAACACATAAGTGACTAATGTTGTTACACTGGTTATACTAACAAGTCAAGTAACTATTGTTGTTACATTGGTTATACTAAAAAGTCAAGTGTCTAACACGTCAAGTAACTATTGTTGTTACACTGGTTATACGAACAAGTCAAGTGTCTAACATGTCAAGTAACTATTGTTGTTACACTGGTTATACTAACAAGTAAGTAACTATTGTTGTTATACTGCTTATACTAACACGTAAGTAACTATTGTTGTTACACTGGTTATACCAACAAGTAAGTAACTATTGTTGTTACACTGCTTATACTAACAAGTAAGTAATTATTGTTGTTACACTGCTTATACTAACAAGTAAGTAATTATTATTGTTACTCTGGTTATACTAACAAGTCAAGTGTGTAACACGTAAGTAACTATTTTTGTTACGCTGGTTATGCGAAGACGTAAGTAACTAGTGTTGTTACTCTGGTTATACCAACAAGTAAGTAACTATTGTTGTTACACTGCTTATACCAACAAGTAAGTAACTATTGTTGTTACACTGCTTATACTAACAAGTAAGTAACTATTGTTGTTACACTGCTTATACTAACAAGTAAGTAATTATTGTTGTTACACTGCTTATACTAACAAGTAAGTAACTATTGTTGTTACACTGCTTATACTAACAAGTAAGTAATTATTGTTGTTACTCTGGTTATACTAACAAGTCGATAGATTACTTTGCTATGTTTTGTTTTCAAGAAATGTCGCATGAAAAATAAATATTATAGTTTTACTCTAACAACTTTCTTTGTAATAATATTAAAATCTTTGTAACATTTGTTTCATTTTCATAAAAAAAAATGTAAATTTACAACTTCAGTTTTCAGTACTTTTGAGTTACATTCCAAAATAATACAAATATAATATAATAATAATTTAATGTTTATACTTAATCTACGATGTTTAGAAGCACGTTCAAGTTCCAATACCAACGTCGCTAGGTTACAAAAAGAATCGAATATGACTGTACTTGTACGCTAAAATCGCCTGGTGGCTAGGACACTCAACTAGCAGTCTTCGGGAGCAGACCCCGTCAGCGATCATGTCTTTTGAACAGTGTGAGCGTTATAATGTTACGATCGATCTCATTATTTGTAGCCCAGGAGTTAGCATTCAGTGGTGTTGAATAGACACCTTTCTTCTAGTCTACCAATTCTAGTTCTCAAGTTTCCGTGTTAGACACTCACCAGAATGGATTCCAATTCTAAGCTGAAGCTTCTTGTCTGGTCGATGACGAATTGTAAATCTGTCAATAGCATGTAACAGTGACAAAGCCATTCGAGCGATTTCATTCGCGTGTTCGTTCCCATTTCTGATAGGTAGTCCAGATACCACCATGTAGGCGTCGCCAATAGTTTCCACCTAATGAAGAACAGAATATTACCTCAAGCTTAATCTAATGATTTAAAGCCTAAATGTACTTTAATTTCAAATATATATATACCAACTTAATATTGTGATCGTTTAGTTATTCTCCGTCTAAGAAGAAGTTTGTAGCGGGTTAGTTTGCGATGGTAAGCAACGGATCAATAGTAATGACGTACACAATACATAGTAAATGTTAAAATACTAATTGCATAGACAGTAAAGTATAGGTGTAATTACTTTTACACTGATAAAAGTTGAACTATTAATAACATGTATATAGCGTATTGCTAGGCCCATCATTGCCGAATATGTTTTAGACATAGCTATAGATTATTTTGCACTGTTTGCTTAACATAAAGGTACTGAGAAATAACTTAAATCTCCTAGGCTGGCCGAACCTCGTGAGATACTGTTGGGTTTACGGCCGAAAATATCGCTAGCAGCAAGGGTTCCGAACTGACGAAAATGTATTCTAATTTTTTTATAAGTACCCTTATTTAGCCGTACTCGTTATCACGTTGATTCTTAGTTTCGATCTAAGTAGGTAGCTCCATTTGATCGTTAATTAATATTAATTCAGACGACATAATTTTAATTTTGATTAAAATTGGTAAAACTCTTTCCTTTATTATTAACTTACAGAATAAGGAGCTGAAAAATCAAAATGTATTTTTTCTTTCGAGGAGGCGTTTTAAACGCAACACTTTCCATATATATATATATATATATATACTTCGAACAAAGTGTCTTAACCAATCATCTTCAATGTGAGGGAACCTAGCCTTCTGATTTAACAGAAGTATTCAGTATATGTTGAATATATCAAAGTGTCTTAACCAATCATCTTCAATGTGAGGGAACCTAGCCTTTTGATTTAACAGAAATATTCAGTATATGTTGGATATATCAAAGTGTCTTAACCAATCATCTTCAATGTGAGGGAACCTAGCCTTCTGATTTAACAGAAGTATTCAGTATATGTTGAATATATTTCAAAGCCGAATAACAACTATCAATTTCTTGAGTTAAAGTTTTAAACAAATAATTATAATATTTAAATCATTGCTGCTACGTAAAAACACAACAAAACATTCGCGCCAACTTTCGACAATGAACAACGCGAGTTAGTGGCTGTAATTGTTTTTGTTTTTGGTTACAAACAGACATTTGATGTTATCCATTCTTCCCTATAAGTAACGATCCTCACCACACTATTGGTAATTACAAGATCGTTCCTCAGTATTAATAGTTAAAGTTCAGGAGATTAGGGTACTACGGTGATTTTAAAACAAATTTGTGTGAGAGTAATGGAAAACGGTTTCATAAAAATATCAAGCTCACGTGTCTAAAAAATAAACGCCACAAAAACAAAATTCTTAAGGAAATTTGAAATAATATGTTACAAAAGTATTAGACACAAAATTGAGAACGGTGATAGTATGAAAATATGTTACAAAAAATATTAGACACAAAATGGAGAACGGTGATAGTATGAGTACTTTCCATGAAGTTCGTTTGATTAGTTAGGGTCGGTATTATTTCTAAGATGTTAAAGTAATACAGAAAATTGATTTACAATGAAATATAAAAACAAATTTTCTCATATCATACGGAAGTCCCTCACCTTGTATACGTCATAATTCTCAATAATGGCGTCAAAGCACGTGTACAAGTCATTTAACAGATTCACGACCTGTAAAAAAAAGAACGACGTTTTAACCGATATGTTAATCAACTAAATACTCAATACATAAAACGTGTTTGAAAACTGCATGTTTTTCTTATGGTCAGGGGTCATTTCTAATAAAAATATATGAAAAACACAACTCCACTAGCTCGTGTCTAATCATATAAACCAATATGAAAAAAACATGTCCACTAGCTCATGTCTAATCATACAGACTAATATGAAAAACACAGGTCCACTGGCTCGTGTCTAATCATACAGACCAATATGAAACACACAATTCCACTGGCTCGTGTCTAATCATACAGACTAATATGAAAAACACAATTCCACTGGCTCGTGTCTAATCATACAGACTAATATGAAAAACACAAATCCACTAGTTCGTGTCTAATCATACAGACCAATATGAAAAACACAAATCCACTAGCTCGTGTCTAATCATACAGACCAATATGAAAAACACAAATCCACTAGCTCGTGTCTAATCATACAGACCAATATGAAAAACACAAATCCACTAGCTCGTGTCTAATCATACAGACCAATATGAAAAACACAGGTTCACTAGCTCGTGTCTAATCATACAGGCCAACTTTATTCTTATGGACCACTGTTAGGATCTAAGTATTTACGCAGTTTGGTAAAAAATATAGAACACAGCTAAACTTACACAAACGAAGAAGTTTTAACATATCACTAAATAAAATACCTCTACGTAGATATATCTCTAAGTAAAATACATCAACGAAGACTAAAGTTCGTATTAATGTGTTCTCCCTTCACCTCCAGATACATTAAAGTTGGTATTAATGTGTTCTCCCTTCACCTCCAGATACATTAAAGTTGGTATTAATGTGTTCTCCCTTCACCTCCAGATACATTGAAGTTGGTATTAATGTGTTCTCCCTTCACCTCCAGATACATTAAAGTTGGTATTAATGTGTTCTCCCCTCACCTCCAGATACATTATGCATGCTATTAAAGTTCGTATTAATGTGTTCTCCCCTCACCTCCAGATGTATTATGCCATAAGCGTCCAGAAAACTGGCAATAACACTGAAGCCATTTAATTCCTCAATGGTTTTAACGAAACAATGACGTCATATGGTTCTTTCATTGCTTTGGATTAATGACATAGGCTAATAGTGACCCGAAACTGGATAACTCAGATCAATGGCTTAAAACAATACAGTGGTGCTACCAGGATTACAGACATGGTGGATTATCCCTTAAACCGAATAACCCAGATCAACTGATTACATGTATGGGTGGATTACCTCCCAAACCGGATAACCCAGATCAGTGGGTTAAAACAATACAGTGGTGCTAACAGGATTACTAACATGGGTTGATATTTTCCCTCAACCCGGATAACCCAGATCAGATGATTACTTATATGGGTGGATTACCTCTCAAACCGGATAACCCAAAGGAGTGGGTTACAAAGAACAGTGGCATTACTAAGATTTGGAGGTTGAGACAACGGAATATTATCTAGGACTCTAAAGAACCAGTTCAACGTTTGACATGCAAGCAAGGTGCACTATTGGAAGTATTAAAAACTGCGTCTCCTAAAATTCTGGGTTCGATTCTCCATAGTGGACACAGCAGATAGCCCGAATGTGGCTTTGGTTGAAAACAAACAAACAAATACTAAACTGCAGACGAAGTTAATCACTATATTTATTTTCTAATCGTTTCAGTAGAATCCCAACATTAGGCCTAAAAGTCTAGAATATAATTATAAAAGTTAAAGTATTTAAAGCTATCATTTTTTCTTGTTTCTTACCTCCATAGGCGTGCTTTCAGCTGACAAGGAAGTAAACCCAACGATATCACTAAAATAGATCGTAACACACTCGAACGTTTCCGGCCGAACGTGGTTTCCTGACTTAAGTTGTTCAGCTACGTACCTAAAAGTTAGAATCTCAGAGTTATAAACTAAAAAATATTGTTGCGTCAGCGAAGTCATGCGACAAGTATCACGCCACCTCTTTCTAGAAATATCCTGTTCCTTCAAGAATGCCCTAGCATTTACTAGATATGTGTT